GGCTTGGGAAAAATACAAAGCAAAAAAGTTTTGTTTTTCTACTTGGGGACTGAACCCAGGGACTTAAGCCACCCCCAACCCATAAAGCAATTATTCCTGAATGCTTATCCAGTTCTTTAATAGGGGTAATAACTGAAAGGTGTGTACCAGAAGAGAAAAAACAAATGAAATAATTACTTCCATGGTCATGTCTTCTACTGGCAGGAACTCTAGAGAAATACCTCAACAGGATTAGCATTCTTTCCTCTTTGCAAGGGTAAGGACCATGATCAAAAAGGAAGTTGTTGGTTGCTAACTGGATATTTTGGGAAGACCCGAGGTTACTGGCAATAAATGTTTTCTGCTAAATTTTATTTCTAGTCATTTGGATGAGGTGACTCAGCTACTGCAATCTTTAGTTCAATCTCTGTTAGGTTCTCTAGGTCCTGGCAACTAGCCTGCACTTCTGATTAATCACAATATCTCATTATTCCAATATATAATCTTTACTGTATCACAAAGTTTGTGTAAATCCACTTTCAAATAATTTTCCAACATTCCCAGGGCACTCACATTATATATGAACAGACTATTTGGAGAATAATGTGAAGATAAATATTTACTGAAAAAAACTGCAAATATAGTGATATAGCTGAAATAACATTGTGATAGTAGTTCAGAAACCTTGGTCTTAGTACTGAAAATCAAACAAAGAACATGGATGTATTTTCCTCTAGTAAATCCAATTTCCTTACCCTTAAAAAGATCAATACTTTCAGACATTTTAAGCCATAAAACCCTTTTTTAAATAAAATCTATGTAAAACCCTTACAGAAAAACAAATAGGATTGGGAACTTGAAGCCCCCTGCTGGGTCTTTGTTTCCCCTACACCCCCCTCCCCACCAGCACCTTTAAGGGCCACAGTCCTCTATGACTCACAATGCGCTATGTTGTTACAAATCATATTGCAGATCTTAACACTGAGCTAGCAAAAAAAAATTCTGGATGAGCACATCAAATCTGCACTAGGTTCATAAATATTTTGTCTTAATTGAACTGTCTTAATTTTGTCCCTCCTTGTTAATTGAAGACTTTTTTCTTCTGAAGTCAGGATCCATGGCAATCTCTCCCCTCCCTTTGCCTCCCTTCCACTTCCATCTTTCCAATAAAGAATTCCTAAATCTCTTCTTTAGCCCCCTTATTTAGGATCAGTCAAGAGATGTTCTGCGATTTGTGAGATGTGCAGTGTAAATGAGGGCAAAATGTTGTAGTATATTTTTGTAGTGCATTTACTTGATTTCTTCGTGGAGGGTTTTGACGACTAGACTTAACATAGCATCACAAAATTAATGGAAATATTCCATCTCACACAATATTCTTCAATGTGAACCTGTCTCAATGCCACGAAGAGTTCGTCATGACTAAGTCTAATGCTCGACATATACTCAAGAGTCGTCAGTGCCGATAACTCCCTCACGAATAAAATCTTAATGACCTCGACAGACCATAATCCATAAGGAATCAAACCTGGCACCATTCTTGGGCTGTCGCATAATACCTTGGTAATTCTTCACGTACCCATTGCATAAGTGCGGGGGGGCAGGGAGGGACATGAAGCCTGATCGCGATGGAGCTTCTCGACCCTGAGTCCGGGGTCGCGCAGATGAGGATATAGCCCGGAAGTACTGGCTTTCTTACACTGAGAACAAGGACGAACCAACACGAGACACACGCCAAAAGAAAGACATAATCCCATACTAACAGTAATGGAAAGAATGCATATAAATTCCCAAATGTCCTCCATAAATTAGTGCAGCCATTGAGTAACTTATAAGTCAAGCAGTCGTACAGAGAGAAGAAACGTTGACCCCTTAGGTAGTGCTGGTCGTGTATTTCAAAGCAAGCAGCACATTTACTGGACACGTCCAAGAATACACAGATGTGAGGAACAGCTATTCCTCATCTCACGGCAGGAAAAAAAACCAAAAGCCTAGATATTTGGAGTGCTGGGTGCTGTGCTACACACCTGCAATTCTAGCAACTCAAGAGCAGAAAAACGAGGGATCATCGTTTGAGCGAACCCAGGGAAAAGTCATGAGACCCTATCTCGAAAACCATCACAAAAAAGGGATCAGGGTGATTCAAGCATGGGGCCCTGAGTTCGAGCCCCAGTGCAAAAAAAAAAAAGATTTTGGAACTGATATAACATCTGAAATTTAAAAATCAATAATTTAAAAGGCAAAGATTTGTTAACCTTTACTTAGGGTTAACAAAGATCGCAGATGATAGAGGAAATCATGAACTTGAGACAGATCAATATAAATTACCTACAAACAAAAAGGAAAAAAACTAAAAAAAAAAAAAAAAGACTGATAGATCCACAGGGTCCTGTTAGACAACACTGAAAGTATAAATAAAGTTCTAGAAGAGAGATAATAATGAAGGAGAAAATATTTGAAGAAACAGTGGCTGAAATTCCCCCAAATTTATTGAAAACCCAAATCCTAACAGGATAACATTTTTTAAATACTTACCCACATCATAGTGAAATTTCTGAGGAACAGTCTTAAAGAGAAGAATCTGAAAGCAAGCCAGAGAAAAGTGACATACTATAGGAACATAAAGATACGAAGAACATATTAGAACAATGGAGGCCAGAAAATGTAGAAAGGCATTTAAAATGCTGAAAGGATTAAACACAAAGAAAAACCAACCCAGAATTCTATATCTAGCAAAAATATCCTTCAAGAATGAAGGATAAAATAAAGATATTTTTCGGATAAATGAAGATTAAGAAATTTGTTACCAATAACCTGCACTATAAGAAAGCTTAAAAAATAAAAAAATAAAAATAAAAATTCTGAAGATACCAGTATACAATCATACTTTAACATAATAGAAATAAAAGGGGTATGAATAGAAAGGGAGAGTAAAATTACCTTGATTGCAGAAGACATTGATCTATACCAGGAGACTCAAAATACTCATCAAATAATTTGAGAAATGAAAATTCAGTAAAGCAGCAGATACAAAATCAACATTAAAAAATCAGTAGCTTTTCTAACTCATAAAAACAGTATCATTGAAAATACTCTCTAAAGAAAAATCTGGGAATTAACCTAAAAAAAAAAATCAATGTTGTACTGTGAGGTACAGATTAAGCAATATCCTCAATGACATGTGTTTCATCTCCTGTCACATCTCACTAATGATGGACTCATGGTCCATCATCACCTATACACTTCCATGCCAAAAACACTGGTAGAAGTAGAAATCCCTTACTCATCCAGAGAAAACTCAAATGTCTCCCTGTGTAAACATTCATAGAATTGATCCTCGCGGCTATCACGCTTCCATTGCATGTTTTTTCCCTCCTGCAGTATTTTCACACACACTACACAACAACACACACAACAACTACTCTCTATGGGTCTGTTTTCCACCTAGAATATGCGTCACAGGCAAGAGACTATTGTTTTTCACCAATGTTTTTTCAGTTTTAGAGAATTCTTGGCATAATGTAGGATTAGAACCAATCTTCAGCAATGACAGAGAATCAGTCTTTAGTGCCTTTAACACCACACCCTGAAACAATTTATGGAGAGAACAGATTAAAATGCTGTCTGAATAATCTGCTCTTCTGAATTACAGTCAACTATCATTTTCTGAACCACACGCTTCTCTAAATGGTTTGAGGTTTGACTGGACAAATGAAATATCCTGCTTGTAGATGAGCTACACTGGTACTGAATGTGTTCTCTAAAGTTCATGTGTTGGACACTTGATGCCCAATTATCAATTATATAGCATTAGGAGGTGGGGCCTAATGAAAGGCAATTAGGTCATGAGGGTGAAGTGAAAGGATTAATGTCTTTGCCATTGTCAAGAACATGGATTAGGTACTGTAGTAGATTTATTATAAAGGGGCGGGAGTGGAGTTCAGTCTTCTGTCCTATACATTCCACCTCAGGATGACATAGCACAGCACCAAGGCATATCTTCCCCAACCTCCAAAAATGTGAGCTAATAAATATTTGCTCATTATAAATTGCAGGCTCATGTATTTGTTATAGAAGCACAAAACAGACTAAGACAACTGGTGTTGACAAATTAAATTGCATGCCTTAAATACTGTGACATAAATTAATTCTGAAGTAGAGGAGATGGCAGGAATCTAGTGTTTCTATCATCTTGCTGACTTCAAGATATGTTGACACCAACATAATTGGAATTATTTTTTTGTTGTTGTTGTTTAGTTTGTTTTGAGACAGGGTTTCAATACACAGCCTAGGCTTGCTTTGAAATCATAATCCTCCTGCCTCTGCCTTCTTAGTGTTGGGATAACATGCGTGTAACCTTGCCTGTTTAGAACCAATTTATATGTGTGTGTGTGTGCGCGCATGTGTATACAATCTCGTATCAATTTTTAAAAATTTTCTAGCTTAATTGAGGTATAATTGGCAAATTAAAGTTGTATATGTAAAGTGTAAACACAATGTTTTTTGATATATGTATACATTGTGAAATAACTGCATCAAGCTAATTAACATATCTATCACCTCATATTTGCCAATTTTTTTGTGATGAGAATATTTAAGATCTATTCTCTTGCAAATTTTAAGTATATAATACAGTATTATTAATTATAGTTATTGTGCTATACATTAGATCTCCAAAACCTTATTCATCCTGTATAGCTGGAAACTTTGTATCCATTGACTTATATTCCCATTTTCCTGGCCCCCAACAACCACCATTCTACTTTACTTCTATGAGGTTTTTGGACTATAAACATACATAAAGTTACATATTAAAATGGGTGACAAAAGAAAAAAAAAGGAAACTCTGATTTTTCCTCAAAACCACTAATCTGTTTTACTTCTAAAGAGAATTCTGTTCATGCTTTTTTTTTTGGTGGCGGGGGAGGATGGGTGGTATTGGGGTTTGAACCCAAGGTCTAGAGCTTGCTAGGAAGATGTTCTACCACTTGAAGCACTCCACCAGCCCTTTTTGTGTTGATTATTTTTGAGGTAGGGTCTTACTTTATGCCAGAGCTGACCTAGACCTCAATCCTATTTGTGCTTTTCTAGACTAGCTGAGACAACAGGCACACACCAAACCGCACACAAACATTGGTTGAGATGGAATCTCTAAATTTTTTTTTTTTGGCCCAGGCTGGTTTTGAACTGCAATCCTTCTAATCTCTGCCTCTCAAATAGCTGGAATTACAGACCTGAGCCACCATGACCAGTTTATTCATAGCTTTTATAGAAATATAAACTGATAAGAGTATACCAGTTTTCCCTAAGTTGCTTACCAGGTAAGTTTGCTTGGTTTCTGCTGAGGTCTTCATGTAGAAGAAGTCATCATTAATCTACTATTGATTCATAATAAAGGGGAAAAATTAGTTGCTTAAGTTTAGGAGTTAAATCCTTTTTTTTTTTTTTTTTTTTTGGTGATGATCTTGCTCTGTAGCCAATGGCCCTGAACTCAAGATTTTCCTACCTCAGCCTCTTGCATGCTGAGATTACAGATGTGTGCCACCACACCAGCCTTCTTTGAATCCTTGAATTCTATCACCACCTTGGACTAAGTTAACACATCTAGTGGAAGCAGATAAAAATTCACACTGAAGAAATAGTTGTGATGTGAAAGTCAAGGTAGTTAATCACTAGACATTAAGGAAGTAAACAAAAGAAGAAGATAAGGTGAGGAAAGGTAATTACATTTATTTTCTGTTCATAGGACATCACCATGCTTTAATCTGTGAAAAGAAAATCTGATATTAGGCTGGGAAACAAATTCTAATTTAAAAAATATAACCCAAGGAACAAGGGTTATATTTTTTCAGTGCAACCTTAAGAGTAATTACTAATGTTTCTCTATCACTGCTGTCTTATTATCGTAACACAGTGAGGCTATATACCAATCCTAATTTCACCTATGTAAAACTAAGACACAGAGAGGTTGTCTGACTTTCCCAAGGACACTCAGTCAATAAGAGGCAATAAGATTCAAATCTAGTTTTATTTTTTTTTAAACCTCCAAGTATTGTATTTCCTCAATCTTAGCTCACATTCTTCCACTCTCCTACCATTTTAAGATTTCTGAATTAGGAATGTGTCAGTATAGTATCTCTGCTTTTCCTTGAAAGCTGTTAAGTCAATGGCAAGTCATATGATCAATAACTTCAAAGAATAGGAAAAAACACATAACAGATGATAACTAGACTCACAAACACTTATAGGAATAAGTAATACATCATAAAATTGCTTTAGTTTAGGTCAAAATATTAATCTTTGCTTAATCTGCTTCTTTGTTAAATGATTAGTATAAAATAAATAATGTTAAATGTACTTCAACACCCCTATAGTTGATAAATGATTTTCAAAAAGTGAAGCTGAAGGTAGAGAAGCTAACTTTTTAGTTTCAAATGAAATGTTCGTTTACAAGGACAAAGTACATTGGGTTTGAGTATCTTAGAATATCTTATTTTAGAATTTAGGTAATAAAATTATCTATCCAAGATGACCATAAATTAAGTACTTGGAACTCAGCCTTGACCTTGGGGAAGATAACAGTATGAAAACACATAAATCCTTCAACTATAATAGCTGTACAGTAGCTATGCAATACTATAGCTTGTACACACTTTTTCTTATTAATACCTGTGCATAGAACTGGACAAGTGGACATAAAAAAGTATGAGTATACATCCAACCTCCTTGGCTGAAAACACATTTAATTTTTTAAGCTCTTTGCTGCCCCTCCTTCTGGTCTCATATTTATCAAGCATTCATTTTATTAGGCTGTACCAGTCAGTTTCTGCAGATCTTCCTATTTTAACTTAATAGTATACATTATTTGCTTTGGTCCTTGGCAAACCATGGCCAGACTACTGCCTGTTTTGGTCAATAAAGTTTTATTGGAACATAATCATATTCATTATCTATCTATTGTCTATGGCTGCTTTCATACTATACTAGTGGAGTTGGGAAGTTGAGACAGAGATTCTATGGTCCATAAAGCCTAAAATATTTACTATGTAGACTTATAAAGAAAAAGTTTGTTGCTTTACATTGTAAATGTGCACTGCATTCCTGATAAAACCTACTACTAGGCATATACATTATCCGTACTTTCTGAAATACCTGAAAAGAGTGTAAAGACGAGCTTTAGTTGAGCTTCCTAAATGATCATTCTTAACATTTACTTCATTTTCAAAACTATGATTTCAGATGGTGACTTCTTGGTAGTGATGTGAGTGATGTATCTAAAATGACAATTGTAAGGTATCACAAGTAGTAAAATCTTTGTTGCTTAAAGTAAAATGTATACACCACTGTGTTTGAATATGTTGACTCAAGCTACAATCTCAAACTTTCAGACTTAATCAAGGTAAAGAATATGCTATAGAGATCAAAGTTCTGCTAAGAGATCAGTATTGTCAATGCCTTGACTTTAACTTTTAGATAAGCTCCATTACAGACACTTTCATCAGGTTTAATATATGCCTCAGTGACTCAAGATCACAACTTCCTGCTCCACAAATACCTCAAACTCAGCTTGCCTTCTAACCAACTAACTCTTCTTTCTTCCTTTTCCAACCTCTTTAGTAGAACTGCTCTCTACTTGGTCACCAAAGCCAGAAAACTATGAGTCATTTAAATTTCTCCTTTCTCTTGCACATTAAATCAATCCCTCAGTTCTCAACCTTGTTTCTTCCTTTTCATTCCTCTCACCTCTATTAAAGTATATACATAATGATCTTTGCAAGATTATTTTAATAGCATTCTGGTATTTTTGCTTCTAGTCACGCTCCTCTTATAGCTCTGATTCAGTGTCAGAAAATTACTCCAGGAAGTCTTGAATCTTGATTGCATTTAATAAGAGGGAAGGAAAATGTAAGTAAAAATACATCTGGATAAGTGTAACACAGAAATTGTCAAGCAAGTCAGAATGGCTGTATTTGTGGGGATGTGGTGAGAATGGAGTTTATGATCTTTATGAGTCATAAACTATAGTTCCATTTCTTATTTTTCTCACGTGCTAGGCTTATCAAACTTCTATTGCTTGCTGGGAGGTGGTGGCTCACACCTGCAATCCTAGCTACTCAGGAGGCAGAGATCAGGAGGATCATGATTCAAAGCCAGCCTGGACAAATAATTCAAGAAACTCTACCTCAAAAAAACCCATCACAAAAAAGGGTTGGTGGAGTGGCTAAAGGTATGGTACTGAGTTGAAGCCCCAGTACCACAAAAAAAAAAAAAAAGAAAAGAAAAGAAAAAAGAAAAACTATTGCCATACACAGTATTCCAAAGTGGGGAAAAAGACAATTCTGAAAGACTCCTTAGGTAATAAATATTGGAAGAATTGTTCTCTTATTTCCTGCAGGTGTAAACCTCTAACACCTGGTGAATGGAAGTATCTTCAGAAACTGAATAATGCCATAAAATAGAAAGTTCTTGAGCTGGAGACTTTAACCACTCCTTTCACTTTTGAAGTTCCATCTTAGTTGGTTGTGGTGGTTCATATCTATAGTCCCCACTACTCAGGGAGAGGCCAGAGGACTGCTTGAGCCTGAGACCCCCATCTAAATAAATAACTAAATAAATAGTTTCATCTCAAAAGGTATCTCATTCTGTAAACCTCTGCCTACTAACTGAATGTTGAGTCTCTCTTTGGGCTCTCATAACTTTTACACTTCCCTTAGCTTTCACTCTTTTTCACTATGAATGTCTAGTAAGCACTCAAGGTCACCAGGTATAAATTCTATAATCCAGACTTTATTTCAACTGTGAATAATCTAAAATCAACCAATTATTGGTGCTCCTGAACTGCCAAAGGGCACTGGTATGTAATGAAGAAATTATCCTGGGAAAACCAAATTCACTACTTCTACAGCTTCAGAGAGATGGAATAAGAAGAAACCTGCATGCTCTAAGAACGGCATATGGAAATCATGTTTAGTTTTATAATACTTCTCTTCCCTAAGGATGAGATTTACATGTATTTAAAATAGCTTTAGGATGATACCTTGGAATTCTAAAATGAGCAACTGAAAGATCTCAGTAGCAATGGTAAACATTTCCAGTATTATAGAAGTAAAAGCTAATTTAGAGTGAGAGTGAGGAAATATATATTATCAAGTAGTCACTCACTTGTCGAATTGACATAGTACAGAGAATATACAGGAAGATGAAGGAACAGTCTGTGGTGTCATCTCCCAGCAGGTTTCGATGAGACAGTCCTTGGATGTAAGAAAGTGGGGTGAAAGGGAGCTTTGCCACAACTCTCCCATCAAATCTAAGAAGGAAGAAAAAAATTGTCATTTTTGGAAGATTGATAAGCTTACTTTATTTGAAACAGAAATAGAACTTTTAAATTTCTTGATATCTGAAAGGGTGACAAGCTAAAAAGAGACACGAACCTAAAATAAGGACCTAGATGAGCCCCACTAATTTTTTTCTAGACTAGTGGCTCTCAATTCTTTTGCTATAAAAATGCTTTTTTTGGGTGGGGGGCTGAGTTTGAACTCAGGCTTCTCACCTGCAAAGCAGTTGCTCTACCACTGCAGCTCTGAAGATGCCTTTACATGCCCACAAGTTACTGAGGATTCTAAAAGGCTTTTGTGTAGATTACTCACAATTATTATAAAAATGCCTTGGACTTCAAGGACTTCTGAAAGAGTCTTAGAGATCAGTAGGAAAATCTATAACAGACTTTGAGGGCCACTGTTCTAAACCATAACATCAATATGAATTTTTTTTTTTTTTTTTTGGTGAGGATAGGGTTAGAACTCAGGACCTCAAGCTTGCTAGGCAGGGGCTCTACCACTTGAGCCACAGCCACCAACCCTTTTTTGCTTTAGTTATTTTTCAGATAGGGTCTCACATTTTTCCCCAGGGGCAGTCTTGGACTGTGATCCTCTTATCTATGACTTTTGTGTAGCTGGGACCACAGGCTTGCACCTCCAGCATTGTTAGTTGAAATGGGGACTCACTAACTTGTTGCCCAGGCCAGTCTCAAACTATGATCCACCCAGTCTCTGCCTCCTGAGTAGTTATGATTACGGGCATGAACCACCATACTTGGAAAATTTTGTTTTAAGAACCTTCTTTTGCAAGACCCAAATACCTCCAATACTCACACTAAGCAGAGTAAGAGTCATTTAATAGAAATTTATGGACTATGTAATGGTAAAGGAGGAAACAGAGATTACTAAATCATACCCATAATATTATGAGATAATTTACTTTTACTTAATAGCTTTTAGGGTTGGAAATAATATTTTACATTTTTATTTTATTATATATTTATAAATATGTTTATATTTTATTTTTTATAAAAATACTTCTAAAAATAGAAACACTTAGAAAAAGAGCTAGAAGAAAAAACATATTAAAGGTTTATGGTAAAGTGCTACAGATAGGATTTTCTTTTGTATTTTCTATGAGTAAGTTATGTAATCAGGCAATAATAAAAGTTATAAAAATTATTGTATAAAGGATACATATTTAAGCTATGATGTTAAATAAAAATATAATAGCACTAGCCAAATTGCCCAAATAAAGTGTTAATTATAGTTCAAATGGCTATAAAAGTCCCTCTTAGAAAAACATTTGGGGATTGGTGGAGTGACACCAGAGGTGTCACCTGCACGTGCCTAGCAAGCGCAAGACCCTCACTTCAAACCAGTACCACCAAAAAAAAAAAAAAGAAAGAAAGAAAAAGAAAACAAAATATGAAATGTTTCTGTAGGGAAACATTTTTCTTTAGTGGGAAAACCCCTAAACATGCAAATCAGCCATTATGTGGTTCTAAAAGCTTGTATAACTGCACTGAAAAGAATGTAAGAGACTGAACTTGACATCTTATGTACATATTATTGCCCACTTACTATTATACTTCCAACTGCTTCCCTACTATGTATTAAACAGAAAGAGCTCAATCATGAGCTTTACTGTATTTGCATGAGACATACTGAACTTGTATTTGACAAAAATAACTAAAGATCAGCTTGAAGTAATCATTGTCCTTCTTTCCTACTAACCTCACAGAAGCAAAACCAAAGTAATATTTTTCTGAGAGGAAACATTCTCATTTTCTCACAAGAAGTATTAAAATCAATTATTACTGATTTAACCCTGTACATTGTATGCTGGTTTAGGTATGCTACTCTGATTATTCTGCAGAGGCAGACCAAGGGATGGAACAGATACAGTCAAAGATGTTTATCCCTCTTATTGCTAATATACACACCCAATAATTTCATATTATATACAGCCAGGTGTGGTAGCACATCCTTATAATCCCAGCTACTTGGGTGGCAGAGGCAGGAGGATTCCAAGTTTGAGGCCATTCTGGACAGAAAGGTAGCAAGACCCTGTCTCAAAAACAAAGTAAAAACAAAAGGCTGAGAATGCTGTGCAATTGATAGATCACTTACCTAGTGTGTAGGAGGCCTGGGTTTAATCCCCAGTACTGAAAAAAATTACCTTATATAGTCATTTTATTCTTTATTATTTTCAATTTGAAATTGTAACTAAAAAGAAAACTTTTATGTCTTTTAAGCTATTCAATTATGTGAAACTGAGCATCTATTATGCCATCTTAAACCATGTATTATGACACCTTAAACCAGCAATAAACATGAAAAAAAATTTCTAAGAATCCTTTTTTTTTGAGACAGAGTCTTACTACTTTATTCAAGGTGGGCCTTGAACTTACCATCCTCCTGCCTCATCTTCCCAAGTGCGCACCACCACACCTGGTGTATTCTTACTTTTAATGAATTAATATTTTCCAGGGGACTAGAAATCTGCAGAGGAACAGTTAAACAAACTGGTGCCAAGTCTGATAAAGAAAAGAGTAGAGGTGAGAAGCAAGAAGGTACAGAGAGTGAAATGACTTACAACAGGTAAGTTATTTCCTTAACTACACTTACTCTCTGGGAATCCAGAGGCAGGACCTCTACTCATCTGTAGGGATAAGGTATATTTTGGCTCAGGAAAAGAATTATTTTCAAATCCTAAAAATTATTCAATAAAGGTATGAGCTATCTCAGAAGATATCAAACTCCTCATTGTTGGAAATAATTAAAGTCTGGAAAATTATCAGTTAAATGCATTATTGAAGGGATTCCTGTACTGGGAGAGAAGTTATAGGTTAAATGGACTGGGGCCAAAACATGGAAGTGAAAGCCAGGATTAGGAGTTTTGACTAAAATCAGTAATAAGAGTTGTAGAGTGATAGTGTGGACTTTAGAGTCTGAAAGACACAGATTAAATCTCAGCTCAACATTCACTAACTTTAAGACCTGGGCCAAGCTAAATAACACAAGTATCTTCTATCCTCATCTGTAAAATAAAGATTACAATCCTTATCTCAGAGTGCTGTTAAGAGTAAGAAAGATATAATCTATAAAAGGTTTGGTATTCTGGTGAACATATGGTCACTATTCAAACAGTAGTATATGACATCATTAGACAGTAAGTAATGGCCTTTGAGGATGGTTAACTTAATGTTAGAGACAGAGAAGATACCTGAAGAAGAGAAAGCAGGAGGATAATACCATATAATGGTAAGAGGTAACAGCAGAGGTAAAAGAGAGTGTGGAAATTAGGATGGATGAAAAGCAAGAGGGAGAAAAGAAGGATGGATGAATGTATGACTGGACAGAGAGGTAAATAGGAAACGTTAGCTGGGAGGAACAAAGATTGATGGGTTAGAGGTAACTCAGTACCTAACATTAAATATGGAATAACATCTAGTGAAAAGGGAGGGAAACAAAGGTTTCAGTTCCAGGTGACAAGAATTAAGTGCCACTGAACAACACATGAATATTACAGATGGTGCTGCTTTGGCAGGGAACACAATGAGTTTCAAGTGAGTCTCAAGACAAATGTAAAGAAAATCAAGCCTCCAAGGTGCAGAGACAAGCTGTTCTGTAGCCCAAGAAACAGTACGATATAACCAAGACACAATGTTATTGTTACAGAACTCCCTTTTTTTAGGGATCCTTAAAAGGGGGTCTTCTATAAATTACACTAACCCCACATATAGAAAAGAATAGTCATTCCTTAACTGGTAAATCATTCTATACAGATGTCTATTCTATTTTAAAGAGGTAAACACCGTAAGAGCTTAGACTGGGTAATTTTCTTTTACTTCTCACACAATGTTAGCACGAAAAAAATGGCACGCAGATTTTGAACTCAATTGAAACCTAATATAAATATCCATGTAGGATGCTTGTGGAAACTTGAAAACTAGCCAGGTATGTTAGTAAACAGTCGTAATCCAGCATTCAGGAGGCTGAGGCAGGAGCATTACGAGTTCAAGGTCAGCCTGGGCTACCATAGTGAGACCCTGTCTCTAAATAAATAAATTGAATACTAGAGGGAGAAAAATTTTTTAAAAAGACAAATGAGAATGATTATTGACACAGTGGGAGAAAATACATGAAATACATTATTGATGTGGTTCCATGTGAATTCACCTCAAAGCTATGTATCAAAGTACATAGAAAAATCATTTTTTGACCATAGAAAAATCATTCTCATGTCTCATAATTTAGATTAAAAATCAAGACTTCTCCCTACTCAAATCTTGTCTGATCATGAAGATCAGTCTTTGAAAATCAAATTTAAGTGAAAAGGAGGGAGGATGGCTAAGAAAGAGGAATATAAATGGGTGAATTTGATCAAAGTATATTATATGAATGTGGTAAATTAAACCACTTTATATAATTAATACTAAAAAATTTTTAATTAAATTATTGGCCTGCTTTTAGGATGCACAATTTTGCATTATTTCTTTCAAGTATTGTTGACACTGAAACACCCATAGTCTCAATATTAATTGCTGGGATTAGCCTGTTGTACTACAAAATTCTCTGAGCTATCATAAACTAAAACAACCTATGACCTAAGAGTAAGTAGAAGACATTTTTAGCAACTAGCTTCATAGTTTGAAAATGCAGTGCCATCGTAATTGGTTTGCTAGCATCCTCATTAAACACTGGCATCTTGGAAATTAGTTTCTTAAGAATTTGGACTTATGTTTTAAATGGGATCAAATTTTTCAGAATAGCTATTATGAGGGAATAGAGCTGTGTTTTTTGCAACTAAAGGATGAAATAACCTAGGTAAGAATACAACCAAGGATACACAGTAAGCCCTCCTTATTTGAAGATTTATTACATATGGTTTGACCAAGCATGGTCAAAAAATAAAAATAAAATTCAAAACCAAGAATTTGAAACTTCCATGCAGCTAGTACTCAGCTCAGATGAGAAGCTCTTAGGCCCGCATAACCATCAGTTGTGCTTAAATCAGTATGATTTATTCATGTTTCCTGGCCCTTAATTTTGTGAAAATCAGCCTCCCAAAAAGTTTTTGGTGTCCCAAAAGCAAGGTAGATGTTAATGTGCTTAATGTAGGAGATAATATGGAAATTTCAGATTTATTGAAAGGCAACATGTCTTCAGTAGAAATTGGGGGGCATTAAAGGAAGTATGAATCAAGCATCCACAATATAGTACTGAATTCTATGCATTTGTGGATTTTTCGTAATAGCAGCCTCCTTGGAATCATATACCTGTGAATACCAAGGGTCTACTGTAAATATATTCCCTGCATTACCTGTACTACAGTCCTTGTAGGGAGATACAGAATTAAGTCAAGTAAAGTAATAGTCAGGTAAAGTTTCAGAAGGAAGTACCCTTTGATACTAGTATTAGATGATAAAAAGGTATTCACCAGATGTGGGAAAAAGAAGGCCACAGATAAGTATGAAATAAATTGGGCTTAGAGTCAAAAAGGACTCCTTTACGAAGACATGAATTAGAAAGTCTAGAAGTTAAATATAACAGGTTATAAAGCAACCAAACCTGTGTATAAATATATATGTATACCTAAATGTTTGCACAAATACAGAACTACAAATGTTGAAGGATATGCATACATTTGAGGAAGGCAGAGTGACTTACTTTGCACTGTATACATTTATGTATTACTTAAAGGTTTCCAATGAGAATATATTACTTTAGAAATAAGAGTAAAAAGGCAATAAAATAAGTTGCACCTTAGGGAAAATATATGGCAGTGGGAGAAAAATTATACTTTAAGGTAGATGTCTTTTCCATAAAGCAGTCTTTCAGATTTAGTATGTATGGGTTTGGGTGGTTACATGCTAGGGGAGATTAGAACTGTAATAGGTTCACAAAAGTATCAAAAACAGGGATCACATATATAAAGCAGCATTATTACTGGAAAAACCACAAGTTTTTTTCTTAACCATGCTATTTCATCAAAACTCATCTGTCCCTAAATTAAGGAAAGACATCTAAGGCTAACTAACTTCCAAGCAAAAGCAGGACTCAAATCTGTGGCCATGATCATACAATAAAGCTAAGGCTAATAAGAGGACCTATATAAACACCAAACACCAAACTATATAAATATCAGTACGAAAATCAGAATGTGAGAGAAATAAATAGAAATTAAATTTCATATAGAAAAAGTACAGATGAGTACTGAGCCAGCTTTGTACTGTCCAGAATGTAACACCTTTAAGGGGAGTATTTGAGTAGTTTCAGATGTACCAACAAAGCTTACTAGTTAACTATAAAACATGTCAATGTTTGGTTTGTCCAATACTTCATGGTGATATGTACCCAAGAGATCAAAGTATTAACAGAGTGAAAGAATATTGGCTTACAATTATGAAACATAAATCATGGGACTTAATATCTTGGGCAAGTTATTTATTTATTTGAAATTTTATATTAAAACCATTTTTGGATGCCTTCATTAAATTTCTCACCAAGATAAAAATAACCACTTCCATCTTTGTAATACCTTCTACAACACCTCACACATATTTCTATCAGAATACTCACCAATGTATCATTTGTTTAATCTGTCTTTTCTTCCTAAAAAATTTTGATACTACTAACCAGCCATAGAATGAGGTATACACCTATAAACCCAGCACTCAAGAGGCTGAGGCAGGAAGATCATGAGTTCAAGGTCTACCTGTCTCAAAAACAATCAAATCAAAACCTTTTTTTTTTTTTTTTTTGGATTTTACTGAGGGAAGGGGTCACATTTTGTTATATCCCAGTGCCTGGTACAAGGTATGCACTGAACTGGGAGGAAGGGAAGGATACACTTGGGAAGCAAAGCTAGGGAGAAGGACAGACAGATAGACAAGAAGGAAGCAGGAGAAGAAGAATAAGAAGAAGGGAAGGAAAAAAGCAAGTAAGGGAAATTGTAATGTACATGATATAGTTCAGGTGAACTCTGAAAAAGTAGTCAATGGCTGTCATTTTTGGATGTTTTCCTAACTTCTGTCAAAAAGTTTCATAATCGCTCATCTTTTGCTATCTGTGATTTTAGACAATAGTAAATGACCTTGTCATTAAATAAAATTATAGTTATTAAGACTATTTTAAGAGCCCAAACATCTTTATATAACTACCTTCAGTTCGAACAAGCATACTGGTAAGAGATTTAAAAACAGAGAGAAAACATTCAATTCTTTTTAAAGACCACATGCTGCCTAAGCCATTACCTTGTAAACAAACATCCTCAATATTAAGAGGGTAAAAAGTTATTGTGCAATTGTATTCTATCAAAATTAAATTCCTTTGATTTTGATAATTGTTTTGAGGCTATATAAGAAAATTCCCTTCTTGGGAAATATACACTTAAGTAATTATGGAAAAGATAGCATAAAACCTATAGCATACTCTCAAATGATTAAGAAAAATAATCTGTGTATGAGTACATATATAAGTACGTATATGAGTACATAAAGAGGAAAAATGAGAAAATGGGGCAAAATAATAACCGTAAATCTGAATAATAGATACATTATTCTTACATCTTTGAATTTTTTTGTTGTTTTGTTTTTTGAGCCAGGCTGGCCTTAACTCATGATCAACCTCCCGAGTGCTGGGATATAAATTTGATATCTCTCCAAAATAAAATATATCCAAAAGTTTGTGCTCACATACATACAAACAGAGTAATAGTCATTAGCCAAAGGTATATGAAAGGATACTTACATGGAATTGAACATGCCCATTAGGGCAGTAAAACAAAAGCCAATCGCAAACATGGATTTCATTCGAACCTGCAAGGAAACCAACACATTGCTATTTTACACCAGGCAGTGTAAAATTCTACCATATGAGTCACACTCCCAGCCTCTGTCATTTCACACTAAATAATACCATCACTAAAGCATGTTGCAAAGTTTTGGTTTAAAGTCATTTTTTAAAAAGCTCTCCATACCAAAACATTGTTTGTTAGCTAACTTACCTTCCTTCCTCAATTCCCCTTCTCTTTGCCACCTTGTGATGTACTGGGGTGGCCATGAAACCCAATTCTGACCAATGAATAGTAAGTACAAGTACTGAATGGGGTTTAAATTAATTAATTAAGTTTGAGATGGGGTCTCCCTCTGTGCCCAGGCTAGCTTTGAACTGCTAGACTTAAGGGATTCTCTGCCTCAGCCTCTTAGAGTAGCTGGGATTACAGGCATGAATGAAAACAAACCCAGCTTTGAAAGGAACTTTTAAAAGGACATATTTGCATCCCCTTAGACATTCTGCCCATTATTCTTGCCTAGAATGAAGAACATAATGCCCCACGGCAAACAGTGAAGTTTACAGTTAAGTGAAGTTTAGCTAAGGACCTGACTATTTGAGGGTGGTACTGAGCTGCTACACTAGCCAAGGACTATCAACCTCTAGACTTTTTGAGCAATAAAATCAAATCATTACCTGTTTTAGGTCATTGTTAGTTTGGTTTATGTTTTGTCTTGTTTTTGTGCTTGCTAGGCAGGCGCTCTACCACTTCAGGCACATCTTCATCCCTTTTTCTGTTTATTTTGGAGACAGGCTCTTGGTTTTTTGCCCAGGCTGGCCTGGACCACTATCCTCCTATGTTAGGCTTCCTGCTACTGTAGCTGGGATGACAGACACACACCGTCATCCCAGCTTTTTTTCTGTTGAGATGGAGTCTCACAAACTTTTTGGCCCAGTCTGACCTTAAATTGTGTCTTCCCAATCTCAGCCTCCTAAGTAGCTAGGATTACAGGTGTAAACCAGTGGCACCCACATTAATTACGTACTCAGTTATTTGTAATAAATTCTTTTCCATAAATGCATAAATGAACAAACGATTAAAAAGATGCATGCTTAACAGATGATAGCTCTAGATTACTAGTCTACTGGCAATTTTTATCTTTTATTTTACAGTTTCCAAATTTGTTATGATGAACATGTATGTAGTAATTGTGCCAACAGGTAAGAAAAGCTACATTTAAAAATAATCCCCTCTAAATTATAATCTTTCTGGAGAAGACTATTCAAAAGAAGATAAAGAACTATAGCAAAGGTCTCTCAGTAGGTAAAAGAAAACTGCTGCACAGTTCAAATGTCCTATGTTAAATATACAGAAGTTATATAGAAATGTTAGTGAAGCCACATAATCAATTTATCTATGCCTTAGTAAGACAAGCTAGTATAAAGGGGATGGGGAAGGGTTGAGGAAGGGTCTTGCTACGTATCCTAGGATGGCCTGGAACTCACTATGTCCAGGCTGGCCTCAAACCAAGTATATTCTTTATAAATAATGAGTAAATGAGTTACAAAATCACTTTTCCTTATACTTTATAGTATGTCTTACACTTGGAACAAAAGGACTCTTAAAGAACAAAATAAAAGCCATCTATAAGTTCCAACCCCTGCATTAGAATTACACAAATTACCATAAACAAATAGCACTAAAACAAGAAAAACAAAATAAGCAACTTCATTTAAAAACATCAGAGGAGCCCAGTATGGTGAAGCATACCTGAAATCCTAGCACTCAGGAGGAAGAGGCAGGAGGATCTTGAGTTCAAGGCCAGCTTGGCTGGCTTCATAGCAAGATCCTGTCTCCAAAACCCAAAATCAAACAAACAAAAAGCCATAAGAGGGAAATTAAGCAAGGGGGCCAATTACACCTTCCTCTGAGAGAGCCTTTAAAAGCTACTTACATTATTAAAATGAACAGCCAACACATCAGCACATTTTCGCTTCTATTTGGCCCAGGAACACACATGATTACTATTTATAGCTTTCATAGGTGATAAATTTCTGAAAAGCTAAGTATAATACACTTGATGCAAATCAGACTTTTGCTAAAAACGTTATGTGGTTTACCCTAAAGTTATATTTAGAACTCTTACCATTGACAGATCTCTGTTGTTATTTTTCAGCTTCTCCTCTTGTCTCTCTGAAAAGAATTAATGGCTGGTTAGTACAAAGAGTGCTGAACACAAAGCTTTTGTGAAGTAAATTAGCACTGACTAGAGATCACAAAAACACGTTTCAGTATCACTTAGCAAGATGAAGTGGATACCTGTGATTCATGTATACTTTATACTAAAAGAACATTCAAACGAGTAGAGCACCAAAATATTTCAATAAAAAGCTTTTCATTTAAAAAATTTCTATTTGTAATAAATGTCTTAACTCTGTATACTAAAACATTCTTACATTGCACCAGTGGGAATTACCAATCTAGTAATTAATAAGTATAACATAATGATTGTACTTATGTGTCTCACATATTAATAACCCATTTCTTCTATTTTTCCCCATTTTTCAATTCCTCTAAAAGAGCAAGCCAATTGATAAGATAAATTTAAAACTTTCACATTAAAGTCTAATCAATCTAAAAATAAGCAGACTTATATAGATAAGTTATTTATAAGGCTTGAGTATTTGACTTGTATTTCAAGAAAACTATTATGTAACAAACTAAAAGAACTCAAGCTATGAAAGAAGCCTCAACTGTATATTAACGCCCTACTCTTGTAGTCCATCAACATAAAGGACTAATTCTCAATTCAGATGTCTTTTCTCGTGGTTAATTTATATTTGCTTGTTTCTGAGGCTACCTATAACGTGTACATTACTTGGACCATTCCCAAGAGAACAGAACAAAAGGTAATATATAAAAAGGAAAAGATGGCAAAAAGATCGCCCAATAAAGAGAAGGGCAAAAAGCAGGATAGAATAAAGGTACAACAACTAAATGCATACACTTAACAGGGAACATCACATATTCAAAGGTTTTTCTGAAATAAGTGATCTGTTTTGTTGGCAGGAAATGCTAAGATGCCTCAAGAAGTACAAAACAAAATTTTAAAAAACGTTAGAACAAGAAGTTGTAAAAACGAACTCAATGTTTAAAAATCCTACCTAATGTAAGAGTCTCTCGAAGTAACAAATCTGACCTAATGAAAATATTATCTATGGGGAAAAAAGTTCAGGTACTCCCCAAGTTATTAGCAATAATCTTACAAGTATCCCCACATAGCTATAGTTAGCTCTCCTACCTCCCCTTTCCCCACTTACCCAAAAACTGATGGTATCTTTAAGTGGCTACTAGGGAAAATGCCTAGTTTTTCCATTTTCGTTGTTCTCCATTCTTAGCTCAGTAATTCCATCTCAGATTCTCACATATTCTCTCTCTCCCTCTCTTACTCCCTCTTTCTTTCAACTCTTAGAAAAATTAAGTACATTCTCTAGCTCTCTTCTATTATGACCATCAAACCTTGACTCTAATAATTACTAGGCAAAAATCTGTTCTAATTATCCATTCTCATTATTAAAATGTAAGATTCAAGTTTTGTGGGAAAATATGAGAAGTAAAACTTTTAAGTCCTTAAATGTATTTAAAACTCCGTTTCAGAGTTTCAACTTTTTATTTTATGAGTAAATCTACTTTCCTTTAAGTATCTATTATGCAAATTAATTTTAAACATTATTTCATATCCAATTGTGTTTTTAATTGGTAGTTTTACAGAAAAAAGATGAAAAACAAAAGTAAACTTTTATTCCTAAAAATGAAGTTTTTATGTTATGTTATGGTTTACATTTATGAAGACTGGTTTGTTAACATAAATAACATGTAATATCATGGTTTATATGAGATAATCTAAGTTCTAATTAATTGCATTAAAATATTTCCCCCACAAGAAACTTTGTTTCCCCAGATGAGCAATTTCCAGTAAAGTCACATTCACACGTAAAATAAGTGCAAGCAATTTACTTTGAAATGCTGTTAAATTGTTTTGTAGTAAGAACTGAACATTTGAGCACAATGATTCATCTAATTATGAGAACAGTTTTGGCTGAGATGATGCAATAGAGCCTAATGATTCTATTTGAAATGTATAAGTTCTAATATTAAAAAAAAAGTAGAGTATATTGAAATAAGTAAAAGCAATTAACTCTATAGCTCTAGCTTAACTTTGCCCTTGACTGATATCAGTTAAGTAGCACATATTCTCTTAAAAAGTTGTCTGTTGGCCATGATAAGGTAGGGAAGCCACTGTCTATTTGTTGTGTTATTTCCATCTGGGTGGTGTGTTGCTTAAAGAACCACAGCAGTAGACTTTTCTGCCAAGGAAGAAAAACAACCCAGCCCCTGGGAGCCTAAGACTTTCATGCAGTTGTACTTCCCAATCTCTGTCAGTTGTTAGACTGAAATCAAGAAGGTGAAATGTGCATTCAAAACCTATGTCTGCCTTGAAGATCTTGAGTTTAAAAGGGTGCTGGAAACATACAGTATACTCCATTTAGTGTCCCATGTGAATTATTCTTCACATATGTGACCTAGAACCTCAGTATTTAACACAGGGGCCATCATAAAAAATATTCCTTTTAGAAGGAATTCTATGTACCTTCTTACTAGTGAACTTTAAAAAAAAACAATTTCTATGTAATTTGAGGAAATTTTATGTGGAAAAGAATTCAGAATTATGCAGAAGATAGATACATTAATATCCTACTTTTGAATTAACAAACAAAGGGTAAGATTAAAATCCTAAAAGTAAATATGTCAACTATAAAGAGGCTACATTTCTTCTACCTACTAGAATAAACTAGTAGCAATGATAATGGCATTCATTCTAACCACAAAATGAATATATCTCAAGCCAATCCAATTATTATAAGGCCTAGAATGAATATATAAATTCAGGGCTCAAAATATGTCAAATTTAAAAAATGTTCTCCCATATTTTTCATGTCACTAAGACCCATTCCACTCAAGTTTCAAGTACCTGCTCTCTCTTTTTGACCACCATTGGAATATATCTGCCTCTCATCGTAAGACCTGTTGAAAGGTCAGCCTCATAAAGATTCATAACCCATGACAGTCAATTTCAGGTGTCAATGTGACAAGATTAAGGGATACCTAAATAGCTGGTCAGGTATTGTATCTGAGTATGTCCTTGAAGGTGGTTTTTAGAAGACATTGGTATTTGAATCAGTACACTGAGCAAAAATCTGCCTTCACCCATTGTGGGTGTTCACCATCTTTATCAGCTGAGAGCCTGGATAGAACAAAAGGCAGAGGAAAGGCAAATTCACTCTCTTTGTCTTCTAGAGTTAGAATGCACATCTTCTCCTGCCCTTGACATGAGAACTAGAGGTTCTCTGGCCTTTGGACTCCAAGATTTGCACCAGTGGCTCCCGGATTCTTAGTCTTTGTCTTCAGACTGACAGTTACACCATCAGCTTCCTAGTTCTCAGGCCTTTGGATTTAACTAAGTCATGCCACCAACTTCCCTGGACCTCCCTCCAGCTTACAGATCAACTATTTTGGAACCTGTCAGGATCCAAAATCATGTGAGCCAATTCTTCTAATAAATTCCACCTCAAATGTCTATATAGATATATATCTTATTGGTTCTGTCTTTCTAGAAAACCCTGACTAATACACACACCCCTGTCCTCACACCACTGACCCAAGAGGCAATTAATCCGTAGACTCTCCCATGCTCATAAAATGAACAGCTGAATCAAATGAATTCATTCTCTCAGAAATTTAAATCAGAATATCTGAGGAGACAATCCTATGGAAACAGAAATAAGTATTGGTTCTCAAACTTTCACTTACCTAAAAATTATCTAAGCAATGTGTTAAAAAAGCAGACTGTCTCATGCTTAGAGACTGGTTCAGCTAATTCAGTAAAGTCTGGTATAAAATCTGAAACCCTTCATTTTTAACAAGTATCTCAGACAATACAGAGGTAGGTTGTCTACAGACTGTACTACAAAAACACTGAGGTAGAAAGAACTCCAGGACACAAGCCAAAGTCAGGAAAAGGCAAGAATTAAAGAAGTATGTATTAATAGTGGAGCCTTAAAGTGAAGGTCCCACCATCCAGCCTGTCCTTTGTGCTTGCTTTGCTTGCAGGACCTGCTCTATCACAACTCTTGCCTTCCTGTAACTAGTTATTTCAGTTGTCCCTGAGTTTCTGATGACATGTATCCTTAAAAAAAACCCTCAAGACTTGAGATAACTTTAATGCAGCCAAAAACAAAAAAAACAACTAAATGAAATTCATAGACCAAAGGAAAATTAATATCTCATCTATGAGGAAAATGTACACTAATCTAAACACCTGTTTCTGAAATTAAGAGCAGAAAACCTAAGATATTCAGGTAAAATGGGTAAAATGCAAAGGACATCTCAGTTTCAATTAATGGCTCTATCAAAGTTGTGGGAAATTAGTTGCAAATCTGACTCTAAGCTTTTTAGCAGCCAATTCAAAGGAAAAATAAATCAGCTCAAGCACAGTGTCTATAAGCTAGAAATAAATCAATTATTTATAAGACATGCTGCTTTTCCTAACACTGAAAACTAACAGAATGCATCCATAATTTCTCATCAAAAGATGATTGTGTGTTGTGGACAATGTTCTCAAAAATATTTCATAGTAGTACTGTAAGTTGTACGTGGCCAGGTTCTTCATAATGTGCCTAACAGTGAAAATGCCAAAGTGAAATGAGAGTAGAAGCAATTTTACAAAGTCCAAAAACATGCAGTTTAGATTTATAAATTTCTAACAGTATGGTTTTATTTAAGAGTTTTATAAATTGAGGGCTTCAAATCTAGGGTTCAAGTGGTGGATGACTTGCCTAGCAAGCATGAGGCCCTGAGTTCAATTTCCAGTAACACCAAAAAAAAAAAAAAAAAATTAAAAAGGTATTATAATACTAGAGAATGGACAGCTTGCTTATCTTTCCTGATAAATATTACATCTTGTAATTTTTGATAAGATTTTAATAAACTTCATAAATATTTCTTATAACAGCTCATAAGACTTTTTTTGGTGAGCAAACAACTTAACATTGCATTCCATGTGATGATAATTCAATTTCTGATAGTTTGTGCTGTTAATTTAAGGGCAGAGAATAATCTGCCTTCCATTTTTATGTCTGTTCTATCCTTTAAAGCAAAGGTACTAGAAAGAGTTGTCCATGTTCAATGTCTTCACTTCCTCACCATGTCTAATAATATCTCCTTAATTTGTACAATCTAGCTTCTATTCCATATAATGCCACTAAAGCTGCTCTTGCTAAAATCCTCCATTAATAACCTCCATTTTCCTCAGCCATTTAACACCTACCCTTGGACCCTTCCTGACTCCTGAAATTCTCTTTTACTTCTTTGAAACAAGTCCTTTGCAACTTCTTGGGCAATATATTTTCAGAGCGCTACTTCTACTACCCTTTCTATTTCTGTGTTTTCTCAACACCCTCCATGCTCAACCCTCTGATCTTCTTGTCTCTTTTTGTAACCCAATGTGGTTTCATTTACCTTGTAGCCTTAATTGCTTGCCACTTAGAAACATAATTCTAAAATCCACTGGTATCCTTTATCTCTCTGCTAGTTCTCAAACTGTACAACCAATTTGGACCAAACATTTCTACCTACTACAAGGTGGTGGTACATACCTGTAATTCCAGCATTTGGAAGGCTGAGGTAGGAGAATCACAAATTCAAGGCCAACCTGGGCCCAATATGTTTAAGCCTGAAATCATCTTCTCGTTTCTCATCTCAATCTGCTACTCCTTCAGTATTTTCTATTCAAATCAGAAATCTGGACATCTTCCTAAACTTGGCTCTCTCTCCACATCCAACATCTAAATATTTGAGCCCTATTACTTCTATCTCCTTTATATCTGTTGAATTTGTACTACCTAGTTTATTCCCACTTCCACTGCCTAAGTTCAGGTTACCATTTTCATGCCCAAAATACTTAAAAATTCTCATGGACTTCCCTATCTCCAAAATGGTACCCTCTCCAATTTATCCTTCAAACTAGTGCCAAAGTTGTCTTCCTTAAACAAAATATGTTAATACTGTTTAAGTCCCTTACAGTCTTAAGATTTCTGGATATAAATTAAATTTCTTTCCATACAGTTAATAAAGACCCTTTTTTCAATTGTGTGTGTGTGTGTGTGTGTGTGTGTGTGTGTGTGTGTGTGTGTGGTATTGGGGTTTGACTCAGAGCCTACATCTTGAGCCACTCCACCAGCCCTTTTTTTGTGAAGGGTTTTTTCGAGATAGGGTCTCATGAACTATTTGCCTGGGGTGGCTCAACCCTCAATCCTCCTAATCTCTCCCTCCTGAGAAGTTAGGATTACAGGCATGAGCCACCAGTACCGCTGGCACCCAGCTACAAAGACCTTTAAGAATTATCCCTCTGTATTTCTGTATATGCCTATTCTTCTGTCTAGAATGCACAGGGCTTAAAAATATACATTTTAAAGTTACAGATCACTGGGTTTAAACCCCTTTTGATGGGACTAAATCCCATCAAACTACTGAATTACCAGGTACAAGTTATTTAACTTAAGCCTCAATTTTCTCACCTATAAAAATGAGAGAATACTACTGTACCCTACTACATACAGTTATAAGAATTTTAACATGTGTCAAGTGCTTATCATTTTATCATTGTGTGTTACAGATGTTAAGTGCTCCATAAATATTAAGCAGTACTTTATTGAAGTTTATTTAGCCAAGTCACACTAATGCTTCAAAATTCAGCATTCTATTTTTAAGATAATCTGATCTTCTCAGTTGATTTAGACATCTCAGGTTGGGGATGTAGCTCAGAGATAGAGCACTTGTTTAGCATGCATGAGACCTTGGGTTCAACCCCCAGAGAAGAAAAAAGAAAGAGGAGAAGGGGATAGGAAAGGAAGAAAGACAAAGAGGAGAGGGAGAGGAAGAGACAGAGAGAGAGAGAGAGAGAGAGAGAGAGAGAATGCACACAAGAGAACTATAAGAATACTTATACTTATCATACTGCATGGCAGTAATTTATTTTCTGATCAGTCTTATCCTCTCTAGAAATAGCTTGTACAGAGAATCTTTTTCTACTTTGTTTCTCCAATGTCTAATAGTGACTGGCACAAAGAACATGTACAGTAAGATTTGCCATAACACTGAATAGGTAGGTTATTTTAAAAATGTCAATACTAAATTGAAATACTTTAATCTAAATAGGATATTGCCACAATCCAGCCTGGTGGAATTCTCACTTGGGTTGTATAACAATAATGTAGGTATAGAGATATGTAGTTTGTGAACCAAATTCGCATTTTTCCAATAATTTTTTTCCTGATTTCAAAAGCAGGAGGCATCATAAAGTATAAAGATAATCATGTTTTTTATTAATTGACTTAGAAACAACACTGGTTATATTCTAAATTACACTGAAAAAACCAAAAATATATGGTCATCATTTCTCACAATAGGTAAAAATTACTCAGCAAAAAGTTCCCTACCTCTTTGTGGACTTCCATCAATAGTTAGTTCTCAATATGAAAGCCATGACAGTGATAAACACAAACAACTTACACTGAGCTGGAAATTATCATCTTGAATGTAAAAAAATAATACTTCTACTATGCCAAGAACCCTCAGCCAAAACCAAAGCATTTTACTAAAGCTCAAATTTCAAAGCAAAGAGCAAAAAAAAGTAAGTGTTTGAGCTTGTCCTAATTCAAAAAATGGTAGAGAATCAAATGAGCCAGGTATGCAAGTGCTTCATAAACCATAAAATTATTCAAACACAAGTTATCATCATTAATAACTATTAGATTTTCATCATCAAAAAATGTATTTTTTTCAAGAAAATCTAAATTTTATCTAGACTTGTATCTCACCTATTTTCTTTTTTTGTTGTCGACCAGCTGACTCTGTTATTGTTTCCTTCTTCTTTTCCACTGTAACACAGTAAAAATTATTATGTATTATACTAAAGAAACAAAAGATGGTTTATCACTGAAAGAAAGAAGCTCACAAGAAAATTACAGACTGACTATGGTCATGATTAAGTTAACTGGCCCATTCCCACAACTGCTGACAGTAAAAGGTAGACAGAACATTCTAAGAATAAAACAATAATCACTGGCTGTGGTTGTAGCTCAGTGGCAGAGTGCTTGCCTAGCATGCCAAGACCCAGATTCATCATTAGTGCAGGGCTGGTGGAATGGCTCAAACTGTAGAGTACCTGCCTATCGAGTGTGAGGACCTGAGTTCAAACCCCACCACCAAAAAAAAAATAGTGATCATTGTAAGCCTTATTAATTAAATACATACAAAGTATGTATTTAATTGAGTTTTTTTTTTTAGACTATCAACTGAGAATGATTACTTTATATACTATCAAAGTACAATTCCCAGCAATTTTTTTCTTTCAGTACTGGTGATTAAACCAAAGGCCTCACACAATACTAGGCAAGCACTCTACCACTGAGCTATATCTCCAGTCACCAAAACACAATTTTCAAATTCGGCTCTCTCTGATAACTATGGTTAACTGTGGTTCCATTCTCATCTTTATTATAAAAGTCAGACTTCATTCATTTCACTTATTGGCTGCCTAAAATCTTTGCCTCCTAAAGAACAATCGAGGGGTTGGCGAAGTGGATCCTGTGGTTGAGCACCTGCCCTAGCAAATGCAAGACCCTGAGTTCAACCCTAGTACCAATAAAAATTAGAAAGAAAAATCTAGTGAGAGCAGATAATCAACTATAAATTATAGTAAGTAGAAAGATAGATATGAACAGGATAGGAAAATCATGAAAACAAGGAAAAGGTAAAACCAAATTTTTGATGCATTTTAATTAATGACAGAGTAACAGTAAGCTTTTGAAAAGGAATAGGATAGCGAGGTGTCAGTGGCTCACGCCTGTAATCCTAGTTACCCAGGAGGCAGAGATCAGGAGGATCACAGTCAAAACCAGCCTGGGAAAATAGTTCACAAGACCCTATCTCAAAAAAAAAAACCCCTTCACAAAAAAGGACTGGTGGAATGGCTCAAGGTGTAGGCCCTGAGTTCAAACCCCAGTTACCACAAAAGAAAAGAAAAGGAACAGGGTAATATACTTATATTTTATATTTAATATTTTTAATCACCTATGAATGGACTAGAAAGAGATAGGGTAAAAATTATGTTTGTCTAGTTTATTTCCATTAATTTAGGACTCTTTCTCTTAGCATATTAACTTTGTTGCTTGAATTCTAAAAAGCAAAACTGGTATTACTGCTTTATCAAAGTGATATAATGCTTAATTTGACCAAAATGTTACAAATAAAAATTTAAAGTGCTGACCAAAATGAAATGTGTATGTGTGATACCTAGATAACAGGTACTATTCTAGATGAATAAAAAGAAAAAAATTATATATATATAAATATATGCAGATATAGACACATACATATGCATATATATTTATAAATATATGTATATTATCTATATAGAGAAAAGGCTTGATTTAGAACAAACCTACTAGTGTGAGATCATAAAAGGAAATTAACTCAAATTCCACAAGATGTTATAGAAATATCTTAAAAGACAAAATGGACAGAAAATATTGAATGTTTCTTTTTTTCCTTTTAATTGTAAAGCAGGAGGGTTTATTGAGATAGAAAAATGTAAAACAAGCTGGGCACCAGTGGCTTACACTTGTAATCCTAGCTACTCAGGAGGCAGAGATCAGGAGGATTGTGGTTCAAAGCCAGGCTGGGCAACAGTTCATGAGCCCCTATCTCAAAAATACCTAACACAAAAAGGGCTGGTGGAGTGGCTCAAGGTGTAGGCCCTGAGTTCAAGGCCTACGCCACAGGAAAAAAAAAAAGAAGTGTAAAGTGGGAGAGTAGAGCCCCCAGAGTTGGGGTGTGTCCCAAGGGAGGGTGACTCAAATGTTTTATTCTTTATCATTATTATTATAAGCCAGTAAAACAAAAATATTTCTTTCTAACCCCAGAAAGACTATAATGTAGCTACTTTTATTGTAACTGCATAAAAAACAAGGACAAAAGAAAAGAAAAGGCTACAGAATAGCCATATAAAGGATACCCATGAACTAAGACTAAGACCAGACTAAGTAGACCAGACTAAGACTAAATAAATCTTTTGGGGAGATAAGTTATCTTCTAATGCTTTTCAAAAGTTATAAGGTTATGAAGAAATTCTTGTGTGGTATTTACTTTTCAGAACCTCACCAGATAACAAGAAGTAGAGATTTCAGAGCTGACAAAAATAAAAGATATCTATTATGAAATACATTTTGCCCATGACCTAGTTTTATTGCTGCAGTCTGAATTCCAGAGTTCTGTCATTTTATAAATTATTCAAAAGCATTATGCTGTTTCACTATAAACAAGAGAAAAACCTCATTATTCACAATGATTTATACTTAATAAATGCTCTCAAATAATTTTGTTGCAAAAATGAAGTTACATATTCTTTAATCTTTCTCACTGAAATGTTCCCTCAATTGTCTATACTACAACAATAACACAATAAAATGAGAAATACTAATACTTAAAGCACACTTATAAACTTAGAGACCATCACCCAACTTGCTACCATTAAGAAAGCCTATCTTTAGGGGCTGGAGGTATATAGCTCAATGATAGAGCATTTTCCTTGCATACCTGAGGCCCTGGGTTCAATCCCCAACATTACAAAAAGAAAATCTTCTGTCAAAGGCCTCACGTAAATTGGATTGCTTTATGAATAATACCAGTATTCTCCAAATGACACCAAGGGTCAGATCAGTACAGGAAAATCAATCTACATCTAATTCAGATTCAAAACTATTTATAAACCCTATAAACTTCTCTTGCCTAGATCCATATTGAATCTAAATACAAAGTATCAGAAGAGATTATACATTTGCAATTAAGATATTCAAAGAGGGAATTTACCTTATAATTTTCCTTTTAAACATCCCTCATGCAAAATATAATAGCTGTACATTTGATTATAAATTCCAGAAGATAGACTCTATGCTCATTCATTTTGTATGCATCTATCATGGTAAAGTCTCTATAAAACAAGCAATCAAATATGTCAGTTGATCATACAAATGAAAATAATACAAACTTATCTTCAAAGTAAGCACATTAAGAAATTACAGAAAAATGACAACTATGGTAGAAAAAGAAAAAAAAAATCAAAGAAAAGAAATGAAACTACCGCTATGGAAGCACTGCCTGGTAACTCTATTACTCTGAATGCAGGTATAAAATAAAGAAGACTTTTTGCTTACTTCCATAGCACAAATATTTTAAAGATAATGTACATATTGTAGACACTAATGAAACTCAAACTCTACAGGGCAAATATACGTAATATAAATTTTTAAGGCATAAGAATATTTATTCAAACAAATGTGACACTGTACATGACATGAAGAAATTTATACATGGATTCCATTGTGTATGATCATAGAATAATCTCTCACAAAAATGTGATGTTATAGAGATAATTTATTCATTATTCTATTCAACACACTTTTGTAAGTGACTAATCTAGGCCAGGTATTGTGTTAGGTACTGGGGATACAATGGTGTTTACTCTCACAGATCTAACAGTTTAGTTGAGGAGAAAGATATTATCTGAGTAACCATAATCATACATAGGTAAGATTGCAACTGTGATAAGTGCTCTAATGAGAGATATATAACTAAGTTAGAAACTATGACAAGGTCTGGCTCTGGGTCACCAGATAAGGCTTTGCAATACAGAAAATGAACAAAGTTTACTAGAAAAAAAATGATAGGAAATTATTTCAGATAGAAGAAATAGCAAAAAGGCCTGGTAGTAAGAAAATACAACACTAGCTCCTCCTCTCTCCCACCTAAAAAAAGGACTGAGTAGCTAAAGAATAGAGAGCAAAAGAAAAGAACATAATAAAAAAAAGTTTACCAGAGAAAGAGACAGTAGTTCCAGACCATCCTGGGCCTTACGGTAATATCTTTTTTTTTTTTTTTTTCTTTTGAGAAAAGGTCTTTCTACATAGAACAAGCTGGGCTCAAACTTATCCCCTTGGCTCGGCCTCCCTGGGTGCTCGAATTACAGGCTTGCACAACCACATCCAGCTTATATGTCACATCTTTATCCTAACAGCAATAGGAATAAACTAAAGAGTTTTAAGAAGGGCAAGTAACATGAGATTTGTTTTGAAAAAACACTCTATGTCTATGTGTACCATGGAGAATAAATGTGAGTGGTAGCAGGTCAACTAAGGAGGAGGCTACTGCAACAGATCACAGGAAACATAACAAAAATTTAGACTCGGTGATGGTAGCAGCAGAAGTGGAGAGGTTATGAAAGATCTGAAAACTCTACAGGAGAACAATAATAACAGATCTTGATAATGGGTTATAAATACAGTGTAAGAGAAGAAAGTATTTAATCAGCAAATGTTTATTAAACATTTACTATGTCAAAGTCACTGTTTCACAGTTCTAGGTGCACAGGAGACATAGTGAATAACAAAGACCCACGCCCTAGTGATTTTTTTCATTTTATCAAGTGGAAATGAACAATAAACAACAACAAAATAAGTAAATCTTACAGTAAACTAGAACGTGTTAAGAATCATAGGGAAAAATATGAGCAAAGTAAGAAAGATTAGTAATAATAGTAGGAGGGGAGGTAGACAGGTTGCAGTTTAAAATACAGTGGTCAAATTCAGAAGTGACCTTTGTACAAAGATTTGAAGGATAAGAGGTTTACCAAGCAAGTATTGAAGAAGAGAACATTTCCAAGAGGAGAGAACAACCACTGAAAAGGTCCTAGCACAGGAGTGACTATTATGTCTGAGGAACAGAAAGCAGGCCAATGAGGATGGAGCAGAAAGAATGAAAAGGAAAAATTATCAGAGAAGCAACAGGGAAAGTGTGGTTTGCCACTATAAGGACTTGGTCTTTCCTCTGAGTGAAAATGAGACACTTCCACAAGGTTATGAGCAAATGAGGGACATGACCTGATACAGTTATTCTAGCTGTTATCTTCAGAATAGATAGGGACATACTAATACTAGTTAGAGGCTAATTTAAGGTTATTACTAGTTGTTAGAGGCTATTGCAATAATCCACACAAAAGATCATGGTGCTTACCATGGTAGTTAACAGTTAAGGTAGTGAAAAGTGGTCAGATTCTAGATATATTTGAAGGCAGCCCAAAAGTATTTGCTGAAAGACTGGATATGAATTGAGAGAGAAGAGTCAAAGATAAGTGCACAAGTATTATGGCCCAAAAAACTGAAAGATAGGGCTGCCATTGACCAAGATGAAGAAGACTACTATTGAAGTAGGCATGGAAGCAGGGAATAAACATTCAATTTTGGACATGTTGGGTTTGAGATGTCTATTAGACATTCAAATTAAGATAACACATAGATGTAATAATGAATGAGGGTTAGAGATACAAATTTGGGGGTCATTGGCAAATATAGCACAAAAATGAGTTCATCAAGGGAGTGAATATAAAGAAAAAAATAGGGGCCTGGGCTGTAGTCAATGGTAGAACACTTGCTTGCTTGCTTAGCATTTTTGAGGCTCTGGGTTCAATTCCTAATACCTTATTTAAAAAAAAAAAGGTAGGGAGCTGGTGGTTCATGCGTATAATACTAGCTACTCAGGAGGCAGAGATCAGGAGGATCACAGTTCGAAGCCAGCCTGAGGAAATAGTTCTCAAGACCCTATCTCGAAAAAAACCCTTCACAAAAAAAGAGTTGGTGGAGTGGCTCAAGGTGTAGGCCCTGAGTTCAAGCCCCAGTACTGCAAAAAAAAATTTAAAAAAAGGAAAGAACTAAATTGTGTCACTCTCCAAAACCACAACATGGAAGTCAAGAAGGACATTACAAAAGAATGCCAAGTAAGATAACACCAAATGAGTATGGTGCTTAGGAGTGGAATAAATAAAGCATATCAAGTTTTCTGGTTTAAACTGGAAGCAAAAAGGTACCAGTCACCAAGATAAGGAAATCTTGGAAGAGCATCATGTTTGTGAAGGTAAAGATAACAAATTTGTTTTTAAACATGATGAGGTACATTATCAACACTGAATAAGGAATGGTAAACTGTAATTTTAAAAGACTGAGTTTGGTTTCTAATTCTTTGTTCTATGAGATAAATGTATCATTAACTATCTGAGTCTCAATTTCCTTTCCTTTAATGTGGAGGTAACATTTACACAACTGACCACAAAAAGATACTATTTGGATAAAATGAGATCAAGGGCCTGGTGCATACCAGGTAAGCATGCCAGCTGAGCTAAATCCCCAGTCTGTCAAATAAGATAATTTAAGAAAAAAAGAAAAAACTTTGCACACTTATGAAGGCAAAAGGAAAATGCCTAGAGTACAGCAAGTTTTAAAAATTCTAAGAAGCAAAATTAGGATTTAATTTTTCCAAAGAAGAAAACAATATTGAAAGCTAAATTGTGCCTATAAAGAACCATTCATCATCTCAGCACTCAGGAGCTCCAGGCAAGAGGATCAAGTTCAAGACCAGCCTAGACTTCATAAGGAGACCCATTCTCAAACAAAACAACTATTCACATTATATCCTCAACTGTGTCCTGTTGAATTCCTGCCTTATTTCAAAAGAAAAAAAAAAAAAAGCTTTACACGTTCTTTATCTTTTTCTCAAACACTTCACCATAACTGATTTTCAGTTGTTCACCCAACTGAAATTTGGCTTATCCCTAAAGACACCACCTACCTTGACACTAGTCATAATGACCTGTCATTCTCCAAACATATCTTACACATTAAAATTTCCATACTTCTGCTCATATGCTATTTTCCTTCCCCTACCTTATTCTCTATTTTAAGTCTAACTATTCACAAGGGACTGTAAGGCCATCTGCATCATGAAGGTTTCCATGGTCCCTCACAACAGAATATCCTCTTTAGAGCCACTACAGCAAATAATATGTACATGCTATGTTCCTAATTCTCTTTTAGTCTTATTATATATGTTGCATAAAAGTCTTCTATTTCTAAATAGACTTCAAGCTATTATTTTGATTTTTTTTTGAGACAGGGTCTCACTATGTAGCATAGGTTGGCCTTGAACTTGTGATCCTGCTAACTCCATCTCCACAGTGCCCTGGGCTTACAAGTGCGCACTACCACAACTGGCAGGCTGGATTACCTTGGCATTCCTATAAAGCTTCTTTATCATTTGGTGCTTCTAAAATATTTACTGTGAACATGCACTCAATGAACTTGATGTGTTAAAATTATTTCTAATACTTACATTTTTTACTCTGTTTTTCCACTTCCGCCTTCAGTCTCTTGTACTTGTCTGTTCTGTAAACCAGGACCCATGTTATACCTAAAATATTAAAAGCCAACATGCTGTGAATGGAATGGTCACAACAAACTGATCTCAGTGGTGATAGTTGGAGATGGAGGATTTCAACATTTTCCTTCATCTTTACCCATAAACTTTTTTCAAACGTAAATACAACTGACTCTTCAACCAAAACCACTGTATAGCTGTTTAAGAGTCTCCATAAACACGCCAATGAAATTCATCTTAAACCAAAAAAACCTGGGTAACTGATTCCTATTATACTACCCTTTCCCCTCCCCACCCCCTAGCCAGTAAGGCTCCGGATCTTTCCCTAGGTGGGCGCCCTTCCTCTCTGACACAGATCAAACGTTGGAGAAACAGCCGCCCTCACCCTCAGCAAGCAGCGCCGTGCACACCGAGATGAAAACAATGAGCAGAGTGTCTGCGAACATGGTGCTCATCTTCTACCTCCGTCGCTGCTCTCCCACCTACCAGGGGGAAAGCGCTTAGGAGACAGAGAAAGAGAACTGAAACTATTCTCCTAGATTCTCCGACCACCAAGTAATACACCGACTTTGACAAGCTGGAGACCACACTTCCGCTTCCGGGACACAGCACCGGAAGGGCACGGTTCAGAATGCCGCATGGCCACGCGAATCTAAAGAAACCAGCCTGCAAATCTCGGGGACTGACGGCTGGCGCTAAGGACAAATCTCGCGATAATTGGAATTTCCTTTTCTTTCTTTTTCCCGGGGCCAAAGAAGGGTGGCCGCCGCTCTTACTGGAGTTGGCGGCATTTGCTTGAGCGGTGCCGGCCCTTGCCTGCTTTCTTCCGTGCCAGAATCCTTAACTTTGATTCGCCTGGGCGTCAACCTCAGCCCCACGTACATGACACTAATACTAGATAGATTAGCCTAAACTTTGCGTGAACTGACTTCCGCAAACATTGAACAGCTGGGTTAGGTGCCGGGGCAGCGTCGTGGAGCTGGGGACGCGAGGATGAATCCGTCGTGGGACTCTGGTTTCATTATGCTCCCCTTATACTGAAGGAGGGAGGCTTGTATATACGGTGTGATTAAGGTTTTAGTGGGGGTATGGCCAGAATCTGCGGTGCCACGGTTGACGGGATGGTCAGAAAAAGCTAGCGAAAGGAATCGAAGCAATGATTTAGACAAGTGAGAGTGCTTTGGGGGAAAACCAAAGGAAGTTCTAGATAAGGTGAAAGGCAAAGACATGGATACTTTAAAAATAAATGGTGTAGAGGAGTAGCTCAAGTGGTAGAGCTCTTGCCTAGTATGCACGAGGCCCTGGGTTCAATCTCCAGGAAGAGGGCAGGGTAGGGGAAAAAAACAAAATACATGGTGTGCAAAAGAGCAGCGAATAATATGTCTAGATGCCTACAAGCTATCTTATGCAAACTGGGCCTGAGAAAGTGATGGGAGGAACCATGTCGATGAGAGCACTGAATTCATGTGAAAGAAGCATTTGATACTGGGGCTGGAGGCGTAGCTCAAGGGGTGGAGTGCCTGCCTGGCAAGCCCTGAGTTCAAACTCCAGTACCACCAAAAAAAGAAGAAACATTTGATACTCTAATCAACTTATTTAGGAGATGAGCACCTAGTTTCGAGGTTTATTTTTAAGGGAAAACCTGATTTTTATATTTAATTTCTGTTCTTAAACACTCACTAAAATTAAAAAAGGTATAGGTCAGAGAAGATGTCTCAGCAGCTTGGTTTTGGTCTGTGGAGGAATTTTCACCTTTTTCAGATTGTGGACGAAAATCTGAGAACAGTTGAGCTTGTACTTTCTCTCATTTGGTTCTTTTCTTTTAAACTTAAGTGCACTGAATTGTTTAATGGTACTGGGAATTGAACTCAGGCCTCACACTTACTAGGCAAGCATTCTACCACTTGAGCTATATCCTAGGTCTTTTTTTTTTCCTCAGGGAGCAGGAAGGGGAGGAAGGGAGGGAGGGTGGTGTTGCTCTGGAATCTCCCCAACTTTCCCTGGGCTGGCCATCAACTCTTGATCCTCCTGCCCCCACCTCCTGAGTAGTTGAAATTACAGCATGTACCACTATGCTCAGCTTCAATGCACTTAATTCATACTTCTTTTGTAACACTATTTTTGACCTGTTTCAGTTGTAAGTACATTTCTTGTCTTCTCTTTTACTCTTAGCAGCAGTGTGCCTGTTTCTTTGAAACATATTATTGAGCTTCCACTATGTTTCAGAAACTGCAGTGGCCACTGTAGGGTAAAACTGATGATTAAAATAATATTCCTTCCAAGACTCCCCAGTGGAACTACACATTATAATAAGTTATGATAGAGGTATTCTTCAAATGCTATGAGAGCACAGATGAAAACAAGTGGTTCTTCCATGAAGAATTGAGAAGGCTTCAGGAAGATCACATTTGTGCTAGACTTTGATTTGAGTAGCACTTCAGAAAAGGTAAGGTTTTATTCAATCTTGTATATCAACCAAGGTAAATGTTGAGATCTGATAAGAGGATGACCTTTGAAGTCAGTCTGATTTTTCAGTTCTGGCTCTGCCACTTAACTGACAGCAGTACATGAACATATTGTTTAACGTCTTTCAAACTCGATTTCCTTGTCTATAACATGATAGTAATAACACCAGCTACATAAAACTTATGAAGCTTGAATGAGAAAGAGTATACTGTAAAGTATTTAAAACTGTGCTTAGCACACAAGACAGTTTATCAAATCTGACACATTGATTGTAAGACACACCATTATTTTATATACTACTAAAAAAGCATGGCTACTAATTAAGCCACAACACAATTTTCAGATGCACTCAGAGGTGTTAAAATGTGAAAAAATAAGTTTTAGCATCAATGAAATGTACTGCTAAAAAGCACTTCAAACATTCCTGTGTACATGTTTGTTATAGAAATAGGGGCTTAGCTGGGCATGGTGGTGTGCACCTATAATTCCAGCACCTGGGAAGTAGAGACAGAAGGATCACTAGTTCAAGGCCAGCACGGGCTATATAGCAAGATCCTGTCCCCCAACTCCCCCCCAAAATGTGAGACTGCTAGGATAATACTTCCTTTTCTAGGGCAGATACCATAACACTGCTCCTTGTTGCAGAATAGTACTAAAGACACATTCACATAATAGCCTTCTAACTTCTACATTTCTTGAATATAGTCTCAATTTTTGTAAGCTCTCAACTGATTAATTTTTAAGATTTCAATTTTTTCCTTGTAAAGCCAGGCACCAGTGGCTCACCCCTGTAATCTTAGCTACATGGGAGGCAGAGATCAGGAGGATGGCAGTTTGGAGCCAGCCCACGGAAATAGTTTGTGAGACCCTATCTCAAAAAAAAAAAAAACCAAACAGGGCTGGCAGAGTGGCTCAAGTGGTAGAGCCCCTGCCTAGCAAGTGTGAGGCCCTGAGTTCAAAACCCTAGTACTGCCCAAAACAAAACAAAAAAAAAACCTGCAAAAAACCCCCAAAGTTTTCCTCATGAAAGCCAACTCTGGAGCTGGGTCCCAGTGACTCACACCTGTAATTCCAGCTACTCAGGAGACAGAGATCAGGAGGATTGCAGTTTAACGCCAACCTTGGGAAATAGTTCTCGAGACCCTATCTCAAAAAACTCCATTACAAAAAAAAAGAAAAGAAAGAAAGGAAAAGAAAACCACTGTCAGGGCTGGGGACATGGCTTAAGTGGTAAATTCCCTACCTAGCAAGCACAAAGCCCTGTGTTCAAATCCCATTACTCTCAAACAAAACACCCTAATAATGTGTTCTGTTATTGAGTCTAGGACTGAAGGAAGAACTCTTATTTTGGACTCTTAGGTGAAATTTATTACTGCCAGGACCCATGTCTTTCTCTTTAGCTTACATTTTCTTTATGCTTTTGTGCCTCATGTAATTTCTTATGAAAGACAAATTGGAGCTAACCCTTAAATAATACAATATTATTCTTAGAGTTAATATTGTTCTTTAAGCTAACAGTTCTAGGCTAGGTGTTAGTTGATAGAGAATTATAAATTTCTGCTTGCACTCATGCATTGTTTCTGCATGGAACAATGTGGGCATCAGGTTTCAGCACTGCTCTACTACAGGTAACTGTGTTACTTTTGCAAGTTGTTTCTCTGAGCCTCTTTTTTTGTTTTCAAATCTAAAATAGAGGTAAAAATACCTATCTTCCAAGATTGCTGTGAAGTTTATATGGGTTAAGTGCAAAGTTCTAAAGTCAGAACTTATCCTCAAATCTGTCTCCACTGAAAAACTACATGTGCAATTTTAGGCAAATTATTCACGACACTAGGTCTTGGATTATTTGACCCATAAGATGGAATAATGATAATGCTAGTGCCTGTTCTTTTTCAAAGCATAGTAAAGTACTTAGAACCATACCTGGTCCATGGTAAGTTGCAGTAAGTGTTAACTATTATTGTTATTGGTGCTATTAAATCATTGAAAACATCCTTTTTTCTTTTTTGTGGTACTGGGGCTTGAACTCAAGGCCTTCACCTTGAGTCACTCCATCAGCCCTATTTTTGTGAAGGGTTTTTCCAGGTAGGGTCTCACAGAACTATTTATCTGGGCTGGCTTTGAACTTCAATCCTCCTGATCACTGCCTCCTGAGTCACTAGGATTACAGGCATGATCCCCCGGCCCCCAATTAAACATATCCTTGAAATAATTTTCTCTTCATTTTGTTCGTTTGAATATCCGAAACTGAGCCTATCATATTCTTTTCCCAAGCTCCAATCTTCTTTCTTTGTTCTCTCTCTCTCGACTAGAGTTTGAACTCAGGACTTCACACTGGCAAAGCAGGTGCTCTACCACTTGAGCCACTTCTCTGGTCCATTTTGCTCTGGTTATTTTGGAGATAAGAGGGGCACAAAATATTTGCCCAGACTGGCCTCAAACCATAATTCTCCCAATCTTAGCCTCCCAAGTAGCTAGGATTACAGGCGTGAGCTGCCAATACCCAGTTTCCTTGTTACCATCCAGCTGGTTTTTAAAGCCAGAAATGAGGGTACTATCCTCAAAAAGTCCCTCTTTATCCTACATATTTGCATATCAAGTTTCATAGATTATTGCCCCTTCACCTAATTTTCCCATGTCTTTTTCAGTTCCTCTGTTAAATTTAATCCAAGTCACCTTTGTTTTAATTTGTATTATAATTTTCTAACTGGTGTCTAGTTTTATACCCAGGAATGTCCTCTCCAGGCCATTTTGCTCCTGTATGCAATTGGGATTTTTTTTCAAATACAAAGATGACTGGGTATTGGTAATTGAGAAGAGGAAGGAATGGAGTGCAGTTCCTGTTGTTTTGTTTTGTTTTTTTCTTGAACACCTGAATATAGTCACATCAAAGAAAACAGAAAAGGAATCAAGCTTTTAGGAAAAAAATATTTTCCCCTGTAGGCTAGCAGGACTAGATGATCTTCGGAAATCCTGAGCACTAAAAGAGAAGAGAAAAGGAAAAAGAAAAAAAGAAATCATGAAATCTCTTCCCAAATACAATTAAAATAAAGTACAAAATGAATGGAAAAGAAAAAAACAAAAAGATTTTTTAAAAAAAGAAAAAATAAAATACAAAATTTAAATATGTTTATTGTTTTTGAAATATCTTATTTTTCC